AGGGAAAATATTTCTCTTTGTGTTTAGAAGATGAAAAAGACGTGAAGATGGACCGTGAGGATTGCTGGTCAACCATATAACTGTACTTAATGCCACTGGACTATATATGTATAAATGGTTAAAATGACAATTTTATGTTATATGTATTTTACAACTGTAAGAAAATAGACATCCACGTAATTGTTTAGCATCTTACTACCCAAAAAAAAAGTGTTACAGTATTGTCACCACAAGTTTTTTTCTACATTTCATCAAATATGGCTTCCTTTCCAGAGGTGCCATAAGGAATGAATTCTTGCTGGATTTTCAAGACTCATCTTTCCTCAAGGCTCAAACAAAACACTGAGAAGTGTGCTCTACAGAAGACAGTCAGCAAAGGCTGAATCTGTCAATTCAAAAGCACTGTCTTGCTATGACAGATCTATTTCTGATTCTGCTGCCATCTACCTGATTTTAATAATGGAAATAAGAGTGTCTACTGTGAAGCAGATATACTTAAGATTTTAAGACCTTAGTCTCTTTCCCAGCAATAAATATCACTCAAAAAACAAATTAATTTCATCATTAATTCATCTGTCAAACTTAGCAGCCTTCTAATATTCTTGGCATTAATCCATACAGAAGTGGGTTTGAAAACTGACTGCTGGAACCTATTCAAATAAGTAAATCTTAGGAAATAGTTTCCTTAGAATTACTTCAAGTCAAAACTTAGAAAGTAAACCACGTTTGGTTGAAACTTACTGTAGACTCACGTATTATACTTTCACAATTTGAGTCATTAATCAATATAAATGGTAAAACTATAGAATGTCTATTAATGTAATTTATTCGATGTAGGCATAGGGTATTAAATAAATAGGTACTTAAAGATATGCAGGTAATGATAACTAAATAATAACCTAAATCATTTTCTTTTCACCAAATTTCTAAGACAATCACTATAGTATATCCAAGATTTTAGATCAGAATTTAATCACCCAATTAAACAAAAAGAACCAGTCTTATGCAAATGGCCTGCAAACTGGAAAGAAAAATACTATTACTATTCTTCATCTAGGATATATAAACACTTCCTTGGTGGATGCGCAGTTCTGCTTTCTGCTCCTCCCCCACACCACAGGGAACTAGGACTTGGGATTCCTCAGTCTCAAGCATGCATACACAGCAAGTGTGCAGCACAACTGTGCATATCCACAGAATCGTAAATCCTCCTGTAGAGGGAAAGAAACCTCTGAAAAAGCATGCAACCAAAGCCTACCCAATTTCAAAATGGCCTATGAGGACACTGCATGGCTCTAAAGCAGAAACAGCACTGTAAAATGTCATAAAAATTTTATACCATCCATTCTGAAAATTTAAATACTGCAAAAAAATTAATGGGATTGAGTTTTATTAATATTCATTTTCAGCCTCCATAAATCTATTATTTTTATGTAACACACAGCACTGCTATCAAACATAAATATCAACCTCAAATTTACAAATCTACACACACCCCAAAATGAAAGTGACACAAATGAGATATCAGTCCCTTCTCCACAAATACAGTTCAAAGCACACAGGATCTGGGCAGTGTCAGCTTGTACAAAGCACTGGGAAACGCCTCTAGATCCAGGACCGGCAAAAAGCTAAGACAGCTTCCTGTGCTAGTACATCCAAATTTGCATCTCCAACTGGTTGCAAAACAAGGAGGAAAATTCCATGGACCCACAGCAAATTTTAAATCAAGCCAACCTACTCCTAGGAGAAGACAGGGTTAAATCAATGAACTGATCATCATGTACATTTGTCGGTGAGGTCGGAATGAAACCCAGAGAAATTATGTGTTCCTACTACATCAGAAGTCATTTTTTAGACATACTCAGTCCCAAATTATAAAGGAATAAAGTCTATTCATAAAAAACAGAACTGACAACTCAACCCTTCTCCATTACACCTGTTTTCTTTAAAAGATGTCTGTGTCTAGTAAAACTATCACATGAGTTTATGCTGTCTTCCAATACATTGTCTTATACTTTCAGAATCGGTTCTCAAATCAAAATTATTTTTATACAAGACTGAAGATGTTATTTTCTTTCATCCCAGTAAAGGAATACAATATTTAAAGGTTAAGTACATCAGTAAAAGTATCCAAGTATGATCTAGATTATTTTTATATCCATAACACACTCTTTTTTCTGACACAATATGATGCTGAGGAAAACAAAATAAATATAAAAAGCCTGGTCAAAAATACATTGTGAAATACAAACAAAACCAAAGGGGAAAAAAAGGGTCAGTTTAGACCAACGGTAACAACATTTTATTCCCTAGGTTAAACTTCTTTAGTATTAATATAAACATAAATTTAAATGATCAGTGTCTTAGATTGGTTGCCATTAAGTAAAAACAGAAAACGATCAAAATTAAGTAGCATAAAAATAAAGATACCCAATAAAAACAATTTGAAGTAAAAAATAAATTTATAACATTAACAGAAACTGCAGACATTTTGCTATATTTTCTTTTTTGTGTGTGTTTAATGATAGGACTTTTTCTATGAACCACTGTTACTAAATCAACCTAACTATACAGTAACCATCCATACCTTGGCAAATATATAAATTTAGGACCCAAAAATGTTTGTTATGATTTAAAATATCAGATAATGTAAGACTTCATGGGAAGAGTAGAGGTGATCTTATGATACAATGTATCTTATACACATCTTAAGGTTATTGGGAACAAGTTTGTAGCTGCCTGCATTGTAAACCAGCTTATCACTTTTAATGGTAAGTAAGGCTCTTTCTAAAATCATATTATGTTTTATAAAATACTATGATAAAAAACTATGAATGGAATTCAGTACAAAACTCTGCATTATAAAATGTATGTGAGCAGACCTCAGTATTCTTTTTGAAACTGCTCTATGTGAATACTTAAGAGTACTTACCTCAAAAACCTCCCTAAAAAACTGAATCATAAAATGTTTATTTCATTCTCTTAAAAAGACTCTCCCTCCTAAATGTGTGTATGTTTTGTTCTCAATTACAAAAACATTTGCCACTCAATACAATCCATTTCCTAAAATCAAAAATGAAACTAAACATTAAGAGCAAAAAACCCTCATCGTTTAACATAACTTAATAGTATTTTTATAAACTATAGTTAAATAATATTTTAGACAAATAACTGTTTCTTGTGTAATTATAGTAACTACTAAGGAATAACCAGCCTTCCAAAAAGAAAAAGAAAACAAAAAAAAAAAACACACATTCCACATGTTAGCAGTAATTTACCTAAGAGAAATCTATGAATCAAGGTCATATGTCCATCATTTTTTCCCTTCAAAATAAAAAAGCTATTCCCAAGGGTCACGCTGAGGACATAATGCATTCATTCTCATTCTAAGAAAACAAAATACTTCAAATGATGGTACCATTAAGAAATAATGTTCTGAAGTAACATGGACCTATATCTGTCTCTAAGCTCATTTGTTTGTAGTTTACAAAGACGATAATTTTAAACTGTCCCTTTAAAAGCTAACTGACAAAATCTTTTTTAAATTAATTAATGAGCTTATTTACACCATGTTTCTCTTTAATATTTTTACTTGTATGAATCAAAAATAAAACAAGTTTTCTATTAAGAACAGGAAGATATTATCATTAAAAGTAAAACTCCATTAGCATCGGGTACCACTGTTCAGCCTAGGATTCACAGTATTTGTTAAATTTTTTATTCACTCTTGACAAGTCTCTCTAATGTATCATTATTATTAAAGTATACCTTCCTAAAACAAATGAGCTAAATAAAAACACATAAACAAAAACACTGTACTCCCTTCCAGCAAATTAGAATTTTTAAAATTTTCATAGCATGAAGACATATATGAAAGAAAAACTACTTGGAAGAAACACACCCAGCACAATTTGCCTTTAATATAGTCTTCCTAATCATTGTATAAGCAGTTCCAATAAGGCTCACATTACCTACTCTAACAAAATAACCAGGGGAAAAAGATTCTTCAGGGATTTCTGTGTTCTCCAAATCACAAACAAATATAAAATGATTTTTCTACTTCACAGGAATATCCATTGTTTTCCTAATAACTGTTGTCTGCAAAAATTACAGATCTTTCCTATTTCATGGCTTTGAAATATGTCAATTCCAACCAAAACTGATCCACAAACATCTAAAAATAATCACAACTGTCAAAACACAAATCACTAGAAATATACAGCTTTAATCTTGTTATAAAGCTAGTTTATTATCACCAAAAGATACTGTTAAATATCAGAATTGTGAAATGCCTTCACGTTATATTAACTACGTGTTTAATTAAACTACGAGGCTGAAGCTCCGACGTCTACTGATCCAACTCAAATTTTTTATAGTTGAATCTGTAAGGAACAGACTTCCAGAAAAGCCTCACAAACCCAAAAGTTAGTATAATTTGTGACTTAATTATTTTTCAATAGTCTTATCTTCAGCCTACAATGAAACACCGTGATATACCTAACGTCAATATGTAAGACTGTCATCAAAATCTGAGTTTTGTAAATGCCTAACACTAGACACCTGCATAACGTTTTTTTACATTTAATCCTCTTATTAATAACTGATTCCTAACAATTTAAGCTCTAAATGATACTCAACCTCCCATCTGCCTGTAATAGAGTTCAGTTATTATTTGTGGCAAGAATTTTTGTGACTGTACTGCTCAGCACTTCTATTTACATCAGCAGTGCTAAATGCCCAATGGTGAGAGGGGAGCCAATCAGATGGCAGATTAGATGTCAACTCAGAGGCAGCTGTCTGGAGACTATTACAGCCAGTTTACCTCCACAATTCAAATTCCAAACCTTGCAAAGGAGATCAAGTCGCTCTTTAGGCTCAGCCTACTAGCAAGAAACAGCCAGAGCACAGAACACTTCCTAATAACGCCGTAGGACTTGGGTGACAAGAAAATAAAGAAAATCCAAATAAATACGACCCCTAACCGATCTATTTTCACATACCTGATATTTTACTAGATTTACTAAATAAAATGTAAGCCTAGTCCATGATTAAAACAAGTTCCATCGATCCAGAATGCGTTCCTCTAACATCGCCTCTCTGGTGAAGGTGACTCTTTTCAAGCGGCCCGTAAGCCCAATAATGGATTTCCCCGGCTATTCTTAGGTACGAATCGATGTATTTTAGAATATTTCATCTCCCGGTCTTCGTAAATGTTGATCTCAGTCCTACTCGTAAACATCCAAACTCAAAGCCCGCACCAAACACCTCCGGAAAGACCGCCCGGTTGTCACAAAGCTAACCTATTTCCCTGGCCTCCACCTCGGAAGCGAGGAACGGGACTGTGGCCCTCGGTGGGAGAAAGTTCCTCCCTCTGGGCCGAGCGAAGACACATTGTTGGCGCCACCCAAGCGGATCCGGGCAGCCCCCGCCCCCGGCCGAACCGGCCCGGGGACCTCCCGGGCACAAAAGCCCCGAACCGGGCCCACCGCCCCGCGGATGGGGCCTAGGGGCCTCGACCCCGTCCCGGGGCCTGGGGCTCGCGGGAGCGGCGAGGGTGCCGAGGGAGCCAGTCCGG